ATTAGCATGAAAAGACAAAATGGGAATCAGATTTCCTCAGCTTTATTAGTGATGAATTCATGATGTTTTAATAAATAACATTCATGCAAACACTTATAAAGCACTTATATCCAGTCTTAAAAATATAATCTAAATGTGCATTAATTCATTGGCAAAATTCATCCAAAATACTAGTTTTAAATAATTCCTATCGACTTAAGTCGCAGAAAACGATGAAAAGTTGAAAACAGGAAGGATAAAAGTGGATGAGTAACTATCTTCATCTAGAAGACTTTCCAGAGCGAACTACCTGATAACTTCCTATATCCTATGGGGTAGAAAAAAAGAGATTATTTTAAACTAATTGAAATGTAACCTGAATTCCAGGTGACTTAGTTGCTATAAAACAGAGGTAATTCTGCAGGTGAGATGAGGTGCGCCGAGCCCTTCCACACGAATGAAAACAGTTCCTTGCTCACAATAAACTGCAAATGTCAGCCATCATTATTCTTGGAGCAAGCTTAACTCAACAGATGTTGGAAATAGACTGATATTCACGGAGCTCAATGACATTCACTCACACTTCATTTGGAACTGGACCGTTTTTAAGCATCAAAACGGTCAGTCACCAATGCGAAGTGACTCAGCGTGTTGCCCTCTATGCTGAGAGACACCCTGACTCACCCATATACCAAGCGTAGATGCAGCCAGGAACGGATGTCCTGGGCTCACCCACCCACCGTCACCTGGCCCGCTGGGCCACAAGAGGCAGCCAATCCTCGGGGCTGGTTATGCCCAAAGACACATTCCACAGCAGTGCTGTGACACCTTCCCCTGCCCAAGGAGCAGAGGTAGAGAAACCAGAGGCCAATCCCCATGGAGTTAGTCGGGTGACCTGAGTGATAGGCACAGGACTGGGTGACACAGCCCAGACAGGAGCTCCTCCCTGATATTTTGTATTTAGGAGCACTCAAAAATATAAATATTAATTTGTGTGTGAGATTTATCCTTTTCATTTAGAACCAGTTTTTTTAAGTGTGTAATTCAACTATCAACTTGAAAATTTTAAGTAAGTCATCTTGCCTTTATCAGAGCACAAAAATAAATGCATCCTTTGCCCACACTGTTTTGATTAAATGCTCAAGATCCAGCTCACTGAAGGCCTTTGCATGTTTGCTGATTTATTTTCAGCCATTTGGCTAGTCTGACAGACTCTATCATGGAACATTGTAACAACTGGAAAAATTCTCTTTCATATAACTCAGTTACCATACGCTCATTATCTGAAGTACACTGTGAAGTGACATACAATTTTTTTTTCCTATCTTCTTCCATTTCAACTTATCATGGCCATTATTTTGAAATAATTTTCTGGAACACAGGCTGTGCAGAACAGGTGACTGAGACCTGAACCATTCACCATCCGAATTTTCATTAAGAGTGGTTCTCTGTACTCAAGGGCGATTCAGTGCACAGATTGAGGGTCCGTGAATCCTAAGGCCACTTCACTGCCACACCGATGAACTAGGAAGATGGACATCACTTCCATTTCATTTGGTTTTAAAAAGCTTTCTTCTAAACTTAACTTATAACTTTCCTGAAAATTACACACAAAAATATTACTAGGTTAACCTTCCTACCTAAAATTTGATGGGTTGTAATCTGAATTATAAATTGCAACATTGAAGTGGGATAGAGAAAATAATTACCTTCAGTTAACATAATGTTAATAAAAGGAATTCACTTCATGTTATTAAAAAAGCCATTATTTTAAAAACTACCTTGAATTCAACAAGGCATTTAGGTCCTAGGCTCAGCTTCGGCTGAACTTAAAGGCACTTCACCCTGACTGAGGTCTCAGCCTCACATGCTAAGTCTCACTTTCTCTCCTCCCTAAGTCATAGGCATGAGATCATCATCTTAGAAGACATCTTCTTTTTTTGAGATGGAATCTTGCCCTGTCGCCTGGGCTGGAGTACAGAGGCGTGATCTCGGCTCACTGCAACCTCCACCTACTGAGTTCAATTGATTCTCTTGCCTCAGACTCCCAAGTAGCTGGGATTACAAGTGTATGCCACTGTGCCCAGCTAAATTTTGTATTTTTAGTAGAGATGGAGTTTTGCCATGTTGGCCAGGCTGGTCTTGAACTCCTGACCTCAAGTGATCCACCTGCCTTGGCCTTCCAGAGTGCTGGGATTACAGGTGTGAACCGCTGTGGCTGTTCTCTTTTTTCTTAATGTATTTCAAGACAGGAGCACAATTTCCTTAAGAAATATTCTCTCCTGTCTGATACAGACTAATTCTTAGATATGCAAGCATTTTACTTTGTTGAGCCTCAGAAGAGAAAATTTGTTTCATTTTTTTTTCTTTTTTTGAGACAGGGTCTCACCACCCCCATCACCCAGGCTGATTATCACCCCAGCTGATCACAGCTCATTGCAACCTTGAGCTCCTGGGACCACAGACACACAATACCACATCTGGCTGACTTTTAAAATTTTGGGTAGAGACGGCATTTTGTCATATTACCAGACTGGTCTCGAACTCCTGGACTCAAGCAATCCACCCACCTCAGCCTCCCAAAGTGCCAGGATTACGGGCATGAGCCATTGTGGCTGGCTGAGAAAAGTTTTCAAGCAAAGTAATAAATATCACATAGGTTAGAAAACAGGCTTATAAGGTAAATTCCACTTGCTTTCATTTTTTTATACATTGGAGAAAGGCACCAAAAATGCCATAACAGAATCATATCTCATAAAAGGTTGTTCAAACTGCTCAGCCCCGTAAGACAGATTCTGTTATCTTGCTTCCCACACAGTTTCCACTTAGAGCGATTCATCACGCTCCCCACACCCGCTCAGACAGCAATCAAGACAGCAATCAGAGGCTGGGACTTACCAGAAGCGGCTGCGATTGGGAAACGAGTGAATTACGTCAGGCCAGTATGCCTTCATTTCTGGCAAAAGATCCTATGCATTAAAATAAAAAAAATAAATAAAAGAAGTCTATGCAGGATCTTAATAATAAACTCCAAACCCAGAAGGTAAATTTGATAAACTGACACATTCAAAGAATTGAGCTCTGCTAATTAACAATACTTGGGTGAGTAAAATAACCCTATACTTATTTTGTACAAAGTGTTTGTTAAGATATATCTACAAGTGCAATTTGAGTCATCATAAAACTGCACACGAAAATGCAAGCTCTTATAGGTGAAGGGATACAGTGTACATCCAAACAATGGAATATTTGCAGCAACAAAAACCAATGAACTATCAAGCCCTGAAATGCCATTGGAGGAACTGTAAACATATATTGCTAGTGAAAGAGGCCAATCTGCAGAGGCTCCATACTGTATGATTCCGATGATGTGACAATTTGGAAAAGGGAGTCTTAAGAGACAGAAATGAGATTTGCAGTTGCTGGGGGTTCAAGGGGAGGAAAGAAGGGGAGGTATGGCTCAGGGGGTCTGAGGCCAGGGGCTGCTCTGCACCGCACTGGGTGGAACTTGCTTTCCTGCATTTGTCCAAAGCCACACAACTGCACAACACAGGAGTAAACCCTAATGTTAATGCTAAACTTTATTTCATAATGAAGTATCAGTATCAGTTCATTAATTATAACAAATGTAACACACTATAGAAGATGTTAATGATTGGCAGATTTGAGGGGGAAGGGAGTGAACTGTCTGTAATCTCCATCCAATTTTTCTGTAAACCTAAAACTGTTCTAAAAACAACATCAGCCGGACGCGGTGGCTCACGCCTGTAATCCCAGCACTTTGGGAGGCTGATGCAGGTGGATCAAAAAGTCAGGAGATCAAGACCCTCCTGGCCAACCTGGTGAAATCCCGTCTCTACCAAAAACACAAAAATTAGCTGGGTATGGTGGCACATGCCTGTAATCCCAGCTACTCGGGAGGCTGAGGCAGGAGAATCACCTGAACCAGGGAGGCAGAGGTTGCCATGAGCCAAGACCGAGCCAGGGCACTCCAGCCTGGCGACAGAGTGAGACTCCGTCTTAAAAAACAAACAATAAACCATCAATTAAAACAAACAAACAAAGGACAAGCTCTTCTTTTCCCAGAGAAGAGCTTGTGTGAGCTGGGCAGCCTGGGCTCCACACTGCACCGGTCACACTAAATTCAACAGAACTGGAGTTTACTTTTCAATTTCTACACACCCTCTACACCAAAAAAACCCAAAATAGTCAGTAAAAAGATGCTTAACAAACTTCGGATAACTTCATTTTTCTTCCCTTTCTCCTGTTTTCCAGCACTGTATATGAGGGTTCTTTCCTCAGCCCATTTGTAATGCGGCCCCCACCCCACATGGGTGCGGCTCCAGCCCCACCATGCTAGCTTCAGCCCCATCAGCCCTCGGGACGATCTAGGCCACGATATGATTGACTGTGCAAACTGGGCTACTTCCGTTTGGGACAATGCAAAGTTGGACCTACCACTACACAATGAGGAAGCCAGGACTACTCTGAGGAGCGGCGGCTCAGGCCACCACAGGCCCATGACCCGCCACCCCCCACCCAAAAGGCGTTTCAGCCTTCCTGTCCTGGATGCCCCGGGGATATGCAGTCCCATGGTGCCTCTGCACAAATCTCTCCTCTCCTGGGTTTCCGCCTTTCCTGGCTGCAGGCACACATGCCCCTTTTCACCTGGCTGTTATCACGGGGTTCCACCAGCACTGCCCCTCTGCCCACCAGGCCCACACCTGTCAGTGCTGTCCCCTTAGCCCACCCACATCTGTCAGCCCTGCCCCCTCACCTACCCATGTCCACACTTATCAGCCCTGCCCCTTCACCCACCCACACCCACACCTATCAGCCCTGCTCTCTCACCCACCCAGGTCCACACCCGTCAGCCCTGCCCCCTCACCCACCCACACCCACACCCGTCAGCCCTGCCCCCTCACCCACCCACACCCACACCTGTCAGCCCTGCCCCCTCACCCACCCATGTCCACACCTGTCAGTCCTACCCCCTCACCCACCCACACCCACACCTGTCAGCCCTACCCCCTCACCCACCCACACCCACACCTGTCAGCCCTGCCCCCTCACCCATCCATGTCCACACCTGTCAGCCCTGGCCCCTCACCCACCCATGTCCACAGACCCATGTACATCCCTACACCTGTCATTTCGATTCACTATCCTCATGCTAATTATGCCTAAAGCCACCTTTCCTCTGACCCTGAAGATCCTCTATGTCACCACCTGGAGGTCTCAAGGGCACTTCAGACTCAACATATCCTGAAGTGGCCTCTTCATCATGCCTCCCCAGAGCCCATTCCCTGCAGTGAGTCCTGGAGGAGAGGAGGAGAGTCTGCATGAGGAGCTAGAGACAGCACCAGGCTCTGGGGTGTCCCTTCTAAGTCTCATGGCAGTCCCCAGCCTCTTGGCTTATCCCACTGAAGGTCTTCATGGGAAGGAAAAAGAAAACAATTCCATACGGATTAGAACTTGTGGGCTGGGTGCGGTGGCTCACACCTGTAATCCCAGCACTTTGGGAGGCCAAGGTGGGTAGATCACCTGAGGTTGGGAGTTCGAGACCAGCCTGACCAACATGGGGAAATCCTGTCTCTACTAAAAATACAAAATTAGCTGGGTGTGGTGGCACATGCCTGTAATCTTAGCTACTCGGGAGGCTGAGGCAGGAGAATCACTTGAATCTGGGAGGCGGAGGTTGTGGTAAACCAAGATTGCGCCATTGCACTCCAGCCTGGGCAACAAGAGCGAAACTCTGCCTCAAAAAAACAAAAAAAGAGGCCGGGCGCGGTGGCTCAAGCCTGTAATCCCAGCACTTTGGGAGGCCGAGACAGGCGGATCACGAGGTCAGGAGATCGAGACCATCCTGGCTAACACGGTGAAACCCTGTCTCTACTAAAAAAATACAAAAAACTAGCCAGGCGCGGTGGCGGGCGCCTGTAGTCCCAGCTACTCAGGAGGCTGAGGCAGGAGAATGGCGTGAACCCGGGAGGTGGAGCTTGCAGTGAGCTCAGATCCGGCCACTGCACTCCAACCTGGGCGACAGAGCGAGACTCCATCTCAAAAAAAAAAAAAAAAAAAGAACTTGTGATGGATTTGCAACTAATGACCTTGAGGAATGTACCATTCCTGGGAAGGACCCACAACGTCCACAAATCCTTCCATTCTACCGCATATTTTAAAGAAGGCCCCAGTTACCACCGCCTCCCTGGGTCCAGGACCAGTTACCCTGACATATACTGGTTACACACAGGAACTGCTGGCACCCCTAAGGAAAGATGAGGGCGTGCATATGAGTGAAGACTCTATATGCCATATGAGGTATGGGTATCTCAAAGGAACGTCTCTGCTAGTATCTCTAATAAATTCCCACCCTGTGAGCTTTCTTTAATCAAGCTCTTGTACTGGAAAGGCCCAGCATGTCCACCTGCTCAGAAACCCGTCCACCAGATAGGACAGCCCCAGGCCTGTGCTCTCTGAGCCTCAGCTGTCTGGAGATGCCTGGCAATATAGCACACCAACTGGATTCCCACGTGAGCCATCTGACCCAGGAGTCCTGGGACCTGGGATGAGGTAGGGCTGGCGGGCGAGCACCAGGATCTGCACAAGGTTGGCACGGGGGAGTGTCAGGGCTTGCTCTGGTTGGAGCCCCTCGCTCAGGCCCCTCATGCAGTGGCTTGGGCACAAGGCAGGGGAGGGGAGGGAAGGAGAGGGGAAAGGTCAGTTGGTGTAATTTGTGGGGTTGAGATAGCAATACTTACTAAAACAGCACCAAGGGCTCAATCCTGGTGAATACATTCATGACCCCATAATTTTAAAGATGACTTTGAAGATACACATGTGAAGAAAAGAGTTAATCTAGGTCAACACTCTGCAGTAGAAATAGAATTAAAAATCAATACCTTAATCTCTTCTAAATTGAAGGGCCACGATCTATTACATCCTTCACTTTTATCAGGCCTGGAAATTCAAGTTTAAAAGAGAAAATAAGAAATATGAGTCTTGGTTGGGGTGGCTTCTACATGACCTTAGAAAACACTTTCATTAAAGTCTGCAAAGCATAAAAAGAGAAATTCTAATTGGGAATTCCTTATCCCATGCAGGACACTTAAGAAAGAAGACGCAGGTAAGAGTAGTCAGAGTTCGAATTTCTTTAGAAGAGAATAGAAATTGTGTCAAAAGCATCCAGGAGTAATGCAAACAGGCCGCTGCTTAGCAAAGGAAGCGCAATGGATGGCCTAGTAGCACCTAGGAGCGGGGGCTCTGGGGTCAGCCCTGACTGGGTTGACAGCAACCTCTGCTGTTCCCTAGCACCGGGACCTAAGTAAGCTGACCCCTGGCCAATCTCCATGCCACAGATCCAGCATGAGAACAGCGAGAGTCTGTTCCTTTCAATGGTGAGGAGGACTCCAGGAGATGACAAATGTAACATGTCAGAAAGTACCTAGCGTATGACAGAAGATCAGCTAGCAGGATTTTCATTTCATTTTTAGTAGCAAATGCACTTACACTGTCTAGAACTTTAACTGCATCCTCACACATCTAATTCTGGACATATCAACTCTGACTCTTGACTGCTACTTACTCCACAAGGTCACCAACTTCCTAAGACCCCGACCCCTCAGAGCCCCAAAGAGGTCAGGGAGGAGAGTGTCTTCAGGGTCAACAGCTGGACCAGCATCTGAAACCCGCCTGATTCCATGCATTGGACTGGACGGCATTGCAAAGCTTCATTCCAGCCTCAGAAATGAAACGGCCATGATGAGCAGAGGCACAATCAGAGCATTTGGCAACAGCAGGGGAGAGGACACCATGCAAAGTCTAGGAAAGCCAGGAGCCCGAGACAGGAAGTCAAGGTCATCTGACAAGCCTGAGAAGAAAGTGAAACCCAAAGCCGAGTAGCTACATCCCAGTTTAACTTGTTTTTCACTAATCCGTCTTCCTAAGGAACCAGGAGGCACCAATTAAGCTAAAAGGGCCCTTTTTAATCCCGGCATCGAGGCAGCAGGACAAAACTGGTCCTTCAGATGGGGTGATTCATGCGCCCAGTTCAACGTTACAAGTATGTCCATGTTAAATAGAAAAGAATTAACTAAAGGCAGACAAAACCAGAAAAATAAATTTGAGTGTCTCCGAAATGTGTACAAGAGAGATACACACATTTATGTATTTTCATGCAGTTATTTATAATAAATCCCAAGAGAAGAACAAAATGAGAAAATTAAAATGTAGTGACCCTAACATGTACCGAGAATCTGTAAACACTATTTTAAAAAGTGTTACTGGCTGGGCACAGAGGCTCACGCCTGTAATCCCAGCACTTTGGGAGGCCAAGGCAGGTGGATCACCTGAGGTCAGGAGTTCGAGACCAGCCTGACAAACATGGTGAAATCCTGTCTCTACTAAAAAATACAAAAATTAGCTGGGTGTGGTGGGGCACACCTGTAATTCCAGCTACTTGGGAGGCTGGAGCAGGAGAATCACTTGAACCTGGGAGGCGGAGATTGCAGTGAGCCGAAATTGTGCCACTGCACTCCAGCCTGGGCAACAGAGTAAGACTCCATCTCAAAAAAAAAAAAAAGTCTTCTTGTTATATGAAGACAGAATTAAAGAACAAGAGAATCAGTGTTCTACTAGAAAGACTAAAGATATTTTTAAATAAGAATCTGGTCTATTGGATAAACTCCTAAAAATAAACAAGAATAAATACATTCAAGCTAGGGTTCCCAGTCAGAGAGCCTCTTCTGCCTAAGATTTAATTGTGTAAGACACTTGCCATAGTCCATGTATTGTCCAGTAATCCGGAGGGTCTCTACAGTCATTTTGAATTTTCTAGGGAGAAAATATAACAAGAAAATGATTGGCTCTTTATTAAAATACACTTAGAACCCTATTAAAATACATTTAACAACTAGTTGCCACATATGCCAATGAGATACAGGTACTGTGCTAATAACACAAGCTAAAACCAGTGTTAGTTCATAATAAATTGCTTACAACAACACATCCATGAGGAAGCTACACTAGGGCTGGATGTTCTAAGCCAATCCTCAAACAACTGACTTAATAGAAACAGTCATTTTTGTTAAGCCATTCCTCAAATATTTGACTTAACAGAAACAGGTGCTTTTATGAGCCGAGCACAGTGGTTCATGCCTGTAATCCCAACACTTTGTTTGGAAGGCCAAGGCGGGTGGTTCAACTGAGGTCAGGAGTTCTAGACCAGCCTGGCCAACGTGGTGAAACCTTGTCTCTACCGAAAATACAAAATTGGCCGGGTGTGGTGGCAGGCGCTTGTCGTCCCTGTTACTCTGGAGGCTGAGGCAGGAGAATTACTTGAACTCAGTGAACCGAGATCACACCATTGCACTCCAGCCTAGGTGACAAGAACAAAACTGTATCTCAAAAAAAAAAAAAAAAAAGGCTGGGCACGGTGGCTCATGCCTGTAAACTCAGCACTTTGGGAGCTGGAGGTGGGCAGATCATGAGGTCAGGAGATCGAGACCATCCTGGCCAACCTGTGAAACCCTGTCTCTACTAAAAATACAAAAATTAGCTGGGCGTGGTGGCACGCACCTGTAATCCCAGCTACTTGGGAGGCTGAGGCAGGAGAATCGCTTGAACCCGGAAGGCGGAGCTTGCAGTGAGCCGAGATCATGCCACTGCACTCCAGCCTGGCGACAGAGAGAGACTCCATCTCAAAAAAAAAAAAAAAAAAAAAAAAAAAGCTGTTTTTGTTAGGCCAATCTGATGGGAACACTCTCATTTGCCCAGAGATAATTTACTTAACACACACCCGAAAATACATGTTTAAGGACAAAAGGCTGAGAGTATCCTGCTAAACTAATACTTGTTCAGGTACCAAGTCTAAATAATTAGTGAAATAATAAGTATCAAAAAATCTGGAGCCAGAAAAATAAAAAGGTAAGAATAGGAGTATATCCTTAATCACCATCATAAAGATAAAACAATAGAGAAAAAAAATCTCAGCTTAGCATTTTTTAAGTACCTTCAAATTGTTTAGCTAAAATGGAGTTTTTCCAAAACAGTCATCCAGAAATATATGTGGGGTACGGAAGCAGATGAAGCACAGGGCATGCCTGGCCCAACACAGTGGGGGCAGCAAAGGAAAGCACAGGTCTGAGCCCAGAGGACCCGCCCGGGCACCAGGGTCCATCCCGCCCAGCGCTTTCCCCGAATTTGCCTTTTGTGGGAGGCAGCTTCAGCTCACGGTTGATCTGGAAAGGAGGGGGAGTCTGGTTCAGCTGAGAGGTGTCAGCTACTGAACGCCTGAGTGGCAAAATGCCTGGAAACAGAGCAATCTCTAGTATTAGAAATAAGCAAGACTGGGCTGGGCGCAATGGCGCAGGCCTATACTCCTAGCACTTTAAAAGGCCAAGGTAGGTGGATCACTTGAGGTCAGGATTTCAAGACCAGCCTCGCTGACATGATGAAACTCCGTCTCTACTAAAAATACAAAAATTAGTTGGGCATGGTGGTGGGCTCCTATAGTTCCAGCTATTTAGGAGGCTGAGGCAGGAGAATGGCTTGAACCCAGGAGGCGGTGGTTGCAGTGAGCCGAGATCGCACCACTGCACTCCAGCCTGGGCGATAGACCGAGACTCCTTCTCAATAAAAAAAAGAAAGAAAAAGAAAGAAATGATCAAGGGCATAATTTGAGCCAGATAAGTGAAATTGCATTTTCATTTGTCAACAGAAAAATCAGTTGAGGAAGTAGAACAGAAAGCCCTTACTGCTCAGTGCTAGAGGAAGAGGGTCAGAGGCCAAAACCTGTAACTTCACCTCTGCCGCCCAACTCCATCCCTCAGGGAACCCGGTTCAAAGCCAGAAGCTGGGCTCCTTTCCTGGGGGCACTGCGGAGAGCAAAGCCTGCACCACACAGGGCTCTGAGGGCTCTGCACAGCACTCGGTTCCCAGGCCTGCCTGCGTGGAGCCGTGGGAGAGCCCAGGACACTGGGAACCCCAGGCAGACCCAGCACCTTTGACACAAGCATCTCATCAGACAGGGCACCAGGGACGGCCCTCACTGCCTAGGAGGATACCTGGGCTGAAACAGAACCCTTCACCATGGCTGCCTGGTAGGAAATACACTCCCTAACAAGGACATTTTGCTACAGATTTTTAAAAAATCTTTTTCTAAAGCCTCAAGGCAAAGATGTGCCTCCATGCATATTTACATTAGTGTGTAGGGACACACCCACATTTTGTCATGTAAGTGCCTCCCTGAATGCAGAGCAGCCGGGTCTCAGGCCCTGGAGGCAGATCCTTCAGTGTGGGTGGAAGACAGTGCTTAAGTTCGAGCTCCTCCTCCACGGTCCTTGGTGGTCCTTCCTTCCGTAGGAACCAAGGACTCCAGCAATCCCTCACTATATCTCCGAACGCCAGCCACACTCCCAACAACTGAAAGTTGGTGCCAAGCAGCTTCCAGCTCCTCCTGTCCACTGCCCCTACCCCAAGGCAAGGAAACAGCACCAGGAGCGCAACGTTAAGTCCGCAAAACTGAAAACGGAGCAATCTCATGTATAGAAATGAGCAAGAGCATAATTTGAGGCAGATAAGCAAAATTTCATTTTCATTTGTCAGCAGAAAACTCAGTGAGGAAGTAGAAGAGAAAATCATCAACACTCAGTGCTAGAGGCAAAACATAAAGCCTGCGTGCTCCTGACAGAATGTGGAGCTAGCTCAGCAATGCGATGAAACACTGTAGAAGTGTGCGAGGCATACCAGGGCCAGCTTGATACACTGAGCAGGGCAGGCCCTGAGGGGCAGATCCAGGCAGCGTCCTGGCTCTGGGTGCTCCAAGGAGAAGGTCCTGGACACTGACGGGACACTGAAGGGATGTGGGGGATGGAGCAAAACAGAGCCAGATGAAGA